GTTTTCTGGTGTAGGTACAGGGGCTAGGCTTCTTTTTTTTGTTTTTGTTTTTTGTTTGTTTTTTTAAAACAGGGCCTTATGGACCTGGCTCCTTCTATTCTGGGGAGCGTCAGTCCGGTTCCTATTCCACCGGCAAGTCAAAATAAATTACATTAACAAACACACACGCTTCCTTCCGTCAGGCCGAAGGACCCCTGAGCAGCATTGATTGCTCCACCACGGGAGGATTGACTGTCAGCTTGCCTTGTCCCACTCTTTCCTCTCAGATCCGGAATCCAGAATTGTCAGATACAGCAATGTACCCTAGAAAGATCACACCTGTTGGCCTTACCCAACCTGGTCCTTCCCATACGCCACTTCGCCCCCCCTTTGGACGGCCGACAGTTAACACTGAAGCCTACGCCCTCAGTCTGCAATCTTATCGTCAGAATCGTCAAAATTGGGTCTTGGCAGGTGCTAGTAGGCTTCCGAATCTCTGAGATAGGATCCTCATTGGCGACCCCCGTAGGTGCTCCAGAGTTGTCAGACTTGTCCTCATTTTCCACGTCGTCTGTATCCCCTGGGTTATGTTTAACCTCTTGCAGCCTAGGAAGTGCTTAAGCCTTCCAGCGACGTCTGATGTTGGGAACCCCTTCCTGGATTGGAGTTATGCCATTCTTTCCAGCATACCAGGTCCTGTTGCAGTTCTCCAATCTTGCCATCAACCAGCCAGCTCCTGTAGAATCTCTGCCTCTCCTTGTTCCGCTGTTCTTCGTCTTCGGACCAGGCTCGCTTGATCTTCCGCCATCTGCACAGGATCTCGGCTTGAATCATTGTCTTAGTTTCTGTCCATACTTTTTCCCGTGGGTTGGAGAGTCCTTCAATTGTTCGACTGCATCTCTCCTTCCATATGACCCATAGGGTCACCTTTCTGATGAGTTCAAACCAGGTCCTCTCAGCTTTCCGAGCCTGATCAGGGATGTTAGTCAGGAGGAGCAGTTGAATGGGTTGTTTGGGGAAGGGAGATGAGAAGAGGGAATCCCAGAGTGAAGACGCTCTCGCCCAGTATTCGGTTGCTTCTTTACGGAGGACTAGGCAATGGACTATATCGTCTACCGAGCCTTCAGTGCAGACTGCGCATAATTCTGAACTGTCTGGGTCTGTGGTTTTCCATCTAATGTGTAGCCAGTGATTCACCGGCAGGGCTGCGTATACAATCAGCCATTGCAAGCTTCTGATCTTAATTGGTCTGATGCGTTTAAATTTTTCCCAATGCAATCGTGTGATTTTGTCTGCTTCTTGACCCACGAGGTTCCGCCATCTGTTTTTGATGATTGGGTCTGGGTTTTTGGTCTTCAGAGACAGTCTGTACCTGAGTTTAACTGAGTAGTCCTGGATCGGGACTTTTGATTTGAAATTGCTGGTGGAATTTGGCTTCCAGGCCCACTCCGCTGGGTCGAACTCCAGGGATCGGATTGCCGTATCTGGTCTGAAAATTTCCTTTGGCCATGAGCCTAGGACCCTTACTTTTCTTGGGAGGAAAGAGTCCAATATAGCTGATTCTACGTTGTCGTTGAAAATAGCTGGCCTGTCCATCTTGGTGAAGGAGAGCGGGAAGGAGAGAAAGCTGGCTCTAGTATGTGAGCCTTGCTGCATGTGAGAGAATTGATAGGCTCTAGTAGGGGATGTGTCTTGAATCAAAAGACCCCATTCGCCCGGTCTCCAGGACTCATCTTTTACCAGGATATCGTTCCATTCTTGAGGAATACGATTGAGTATGTATTGGAGATTGGTCTCTCGTTTGTGGCAACCTTTCAATCGGGCAAGCTTCTTGTTCTGTTGTCCAGTCTTTTCTGTCCTCCATCCACAAGTGGTCTACTTTCCAAATACTGTTCTTGATCCACGAAAGCCATCTCTGTTCTAGGAAAAGAGGGTTGTTGGCTTCGTTTGTCAGCCATTCATTTCCGAAGAGCGGTTGTCTTAGTACTTCGTCTTTAGATTTAGGTTTGTTTATCTTGTTAGGGATTATTTTCCTCCATGATCGAAGCAATGCCGGCCAGTAGGGGGTGGGCGGCCGATGGTCTTCGGGTCCATTGTTCCTCGTCCGGTTCCTCCGTCCTGTGGAAATCACCCATTCTTTGTTCATTACCCAAAATAGGCCTGACATGTCGTTCGGGGAGGGAACAGGAGCTATCGATCTGATACTGTCCAGTGCCAAGTTATTCCAGGCGCTGTCCGGATCCATCAACAGTTTGATGATCCATTTAATTTGCAGAGCTTTCGTTTCTGTTCCGGGGTCAATGATTCCTAGGCCCCCATCGCGTGGTCTCCTTGTGATGAATTGCCAGGCTATCTTAGATATGCACTTGTCTTTGTTGGGGTCTCCTGTCCAAAGGTAAATCCTGGCCCGTCTGTTCAGCTCCTTAATCGAGCTGTCAGGAACTGTCCAGATAGAGGCAATATACCACATCATTGAGAATACCGACGCATTGAGAACCAGTGCTCGGCATATAAGAGAAGTATAGGCGTTGCCCCATCTTCCGATTTTGTTAATCTGTTTGGCCAGCATAGCCGGGCCCATTTGGGGCGCCAGTCCTTCTTTCGTCATCAGGATACCTAGATAGCGTGTGGGTGTGTCCGGTGTTTGCCATGTCATAGCCGCCTCGTCTCCTTGAAGAGAAAGGGGTTCGTCATCGGAGAGCCACCAACTTATTGTTTTCCCCCAATTGATCTTCATTTATGAGGCTAACCTGAATGTCTCCATTGCTTTAGCTAGTGTTCTGAAGGATGAGTCTGATGCTCTGATTAGAACTGTTAGATCATCGGCGAACATGATGGTTGCGGGGAAATCCATCTAGTGGGCCGAGCCTACATTGGTGCTGGCTAGTCTCTGGGTTGAGGGATCCTTGCGCAGGAAGGATGCGATTGCCTCCATTACGAATAGGAAGATTGATGGAGCTAGAGGGTCCCCTTGGCGGACCAAGCGGGAAATCGGATAGCAATCTGACAACAGTCCATTGACTTGGACACAGCCAACTGCATCCTTGTAGAGTATCCTGACCCATTTTCTAAAGTTCGGTCCGACTCCCATTCTTTCCATGCTTGCTTCCATAAAGCCCCAGATGACTTGGTCATATGCTTTCTCAAAGTCAAAGAAGAAAATGGCGGTATTTATTTTCCTTTCTCTGATTTTTCTTACAGATTCATTCAATGTCATAACATTGTCCAGGATGTAACGACCCGGGATGAATCCTGTTTGGTCGATGTGGAAGCATTGATTGGTAATCTTAATAATCCGGTTCGATAAGGTCTTGGCCAAGAGCTTGTATGGGAGGGTTAGCAACGATATGGGCCTGTAATTTCTAATGTCGTCTCTTTCGCCCTTTTTATAGAGTAGCGTGATCACGCTGCTGCTGAGAAGATTACCCAGCCCCCCCTGGGACCAACTGTTATTATAAAAGTTTATTAAGTCATTACCTAGCAAAGGCCAGAACTTTTCCCATAATTCTTTTGTTAAGCCATCAATTCCTGGGGTCTTGTTATTGTTCATACTTTGTAGAGCCCGAAGTATTTCCTCTGATGTGAAGGGTTTGTCAAGCGTTTCAGCCTGGTCAGGTGAAATTGTTCACTCCAGGTATTGTAACATCTTCTGCCTTGCTTCTCTGATGTTAATGGGTATTGGAGTCCCCGTCTTGGACTGATATATCTCCTTGTAGAACTTATTGGCTATCTCAAGCATCCCTTCACTATCTGTTTTCACCGTTTTGGGAGCCGTGTGTGACCTCAGACCTTCTATCGTGCCAACTCTCGAATTAGCTTTAATTCGGGCGAAGAAGTGTTTAGTCATTGAGTCGCTTAGTTCGTATTCGCACATTCCTGCTCTTATTTGGAGACCTCTCAGATCCCACCATTTCCACATGGCCAATTCCTCTCGAGCCTTGTCGAAGATTTCAATATACAGTTGAGAGGCGGGGTTGTTTGACAGGTTAGATTCAACTATTTTCAGTGCAAATTCTAATGACTGCTTTCTTTGTTTCCTTATCGACGCTAGCTTCCTAGACACTTTGGCCACGGTGTCTGAAAGGGTCGAGTAGCTCTTCTGGAACCATTCCCATCGAGGAGTAGTGGTAAGGCGTACCGACCTCAACCCTTGCCAGCAGTTACAAATTTCGTTTTGGAAGGTTTTACTCAGCAGGAGAGAGTTGTTGAGTTTGTGGAAGTTGGCTCCCTTTGAAACCACTTGGTCAAAGGATATGACTAGTTCAATTGGTTTGTGATCCAGCCCATAATATGGAGCTAGTGGTAATACTTCGGCTTCCTTGACTGCCCCCATCAAGACTTCGGACACTAGGAAGTAGTCGATTCGTGAAAAGGCCATATGGTTGGCATGGTTCTTCTTGACTAAGGTGAAGGTTCTCTTGTTGGGGTGCAGGATTCTATGGGGGTTTGCCAAGTTGTGGTTCAACATCATTTCCTGGATTGGTGTTGCTTCTGATAAGTTTGGGATGGTGGAGGATCGAGAAATACGGTCCACTGAGGGGTCTATTGTAGCATTCCAATCTCCAGCCAGAATACATGGGGTGAATGGGGGAATCAGGTCACCGATTTGTCTAAGAAAGGACGTTCTTTCGGTTGGAGAGTTTGGGGCGTAGATATTGAAGAGTAAGAATTCCTCTTCCTTCCATCTCAGGTGTAGCATACACCATCTTCCTTCAGTGAGGTCGGCTTTCTTGTCGACGACCGAGCCTGCTGCATATAGGCGGGAGGATTTGGGGATCAGGATGGTCGTTCCCTTGGTGCTAGTTTCGGGGTCAACCGACCAAATTTCTTCCTTGAGGCCGCCTAGTTTTCTTGCCATATAAGCTCGAATTCTGTTGTGTGCTGTTGAGAAGGTGAGGTGTGTTTCTTGCAGTAGCACTATATCAGCTAGCTTCCTTTCCCTCATGGATATCCCAGATAGTATATCGTTCCACTTTTCTTCTTTTTCTAATATGTTCCCTAACCCGTTAACATTCCAACTTCTGAGGACTAGTCCTTGATTCTTCCAATCCATGTGGCCTCTTACCTCATTCGCTCTTCTCCTGTAGCTCTCCATAACTGCAGCCGGATCAGATTAGAGAGACTCTCAGTCCCGGATTGTCTAGGTAGGAGAAAGTGGAGAGGTGCCCGTGCAAGCCCCGTCCCCAGTTATCGCTTGAGATGAATCTACTCCAGTATCCTTGGCTGGAGAGACTGCAGGGTATCCTGCCTTGTCAGGACTCTCTGGATCAAATTGGCCATTCTCGTCCTTATCTAGATCAATGTCCCGGTCCCGGGTCTCACCTTCATCGTCCCCTTCCCATTTAGAACAGTCGGAGGTGTCACTTTTGTAGAACCTGTCACAATCCAGGGCAAAGGCTCTTGCATCTAGATCATCATCCCCTTCCAGCTGTCCTGATTGGACAATTTGAGCCACGACTGAGGCCATCAGCTTTGCCGACACACCGGTACCAGCTAGGATGTTGTAAGGGACTTCAGCCACTGTTCGCCAAGGTTTCCAGATCATCCCTGTTTTCAGCTTCGTTGATTCTGACATCTTGGCTATCAGGGGAGAAAAGGCCCTCGGGGAGTTCCTGGTCATCTTGTCCTTGCCATGTTTGACGCTTCCTGTTTCATCCTGAGAACTGGAGTCGGTCAGGTCTGATTCCAAAGCTACTGTCTCAAAGAGACCCAATGGGGAATCCAGTGTTACCTGTTCTTTGAGTACCTTCACCACGTTTTCCCCCTCAACAAAGTGGGGGATTTTGAAGGCTACATTCGTTGTGATCTGCCACTCCTTTGCGTTTGATACGTATCTGGCTGCAATGAGGGGTCGGATGTTCCTCAGTGTTCTTCGAGCCTCTTTGGCCGATTCTGAAACCATTGGGGCCCTTCCCCCAGCAATCTGTGAGATGGTAGTGAATCCGGGTGCATATTCTTTGTTCCATTTTTTCAATTTCTCAGTTTGAGACAAAACTACAGCCGCCTCTCTCTCCAAGAGGTTTCGTTCCGATTTCTCTTCCGCCTCGGTTTGATCAATGTTAGTTTCCATCCGTTTCTGGTTTTTGCCCACTTTCCTTGCCTTGGGTCGTAAATCCTGGAAGTTGTCCTTGGTTGTGGGGATGGTCTTGTCCTTGTCCTCAGTTCCTTGTTCCCTTGCCCTTTTCTTCTCTGCGTATCTGAAAGCCGCATATTCAGAGAATTCTTCAGATTTGACTTTCTTGAGGATTTTCGTACTAGTTAGAGGAGCTGTTGCTTCCTGCTGATGCATCTCTTTTTCCGTTCGCCCGGGATCTCTCTGCGTGTTTCAAGCAGGCTGCACGGATATCAAATGCATGTTCTCTTTCCCTTTTTGCCCACTCCACATAGTCTTTGAGCCAAGCCAGGGACTCTGTGGAAGCGTCCTCTTCTTCCGTAGGGGTCGCTTCAGGAGCTGTATCCTTCCCCTTAGATTCTTTGTCTGCCTGCCCTCCCGTCAGATCCAAGTCCATTCCTTCCCCTTCGGCCCCTGTTTCTGTCAGTCTCGTTTCATTTCTTCCTGTTGATTCTTCAGCCCTCCTTCTCTTTGGGCCAGGTTCTTTCTCAGACGATCCATCATCGCCTTGTAGTTGACGCTTGTTGTCAACTTGTGATCTCTTGTAGGTTTGTTGCACGACTTGTTTCAGTAGTTCTCTGAAAGAGCCTGGTTCCTTGTTGTACTCCTGTTCGATCTGTTCCCTTACTGTGTCAAGATCCCACAGCAAATCTTCCCTTGCTTTCTCCTCCCTGATCACCCGTGAATCCGTAATGGGGCTGGTGTTGATCTTCGTTGGGTTGCCTTTGACTTTCCCGGTAGCTTTCTTTTGCCATCTGCTATCAGTCGGGGGGAAGATGTCTGGCTTTTTGGTGGGGGGGGACTGGTCTGCAAAGTGCCAGACCCAGTCAGGTTCATCGAGGTTGTCATCGAAGACCCAACCATCATAACAAGAATCAACCACATACCAAATACCAAGAGCATCTTCCACTTCTACCAGCATGTTCGGTAGAAGATTTCTTTCTTTTGCTTGCTTTGGAAACTTGGGACAGCTCGGGTCAGTGCCCAGGTGGCCTCTTTCTCTGCATCGAAAGCAAATCGGTGAGGCTCTTGTAGAGATCCTTACTTCGATCACCCTGTTCTCAATCTGGAACTTCTAGACCTGTGGGAAAACAGGGGGATCGTCGGTTTGTACATCCAGGATTGCTGTCAAAGTGCCACAGTGAGGCGCCAGAAAATCCGGCGTCGGGAGAATCCATTTCAGAACTTTGTTCGTTGTGTATTGTCTCTCGAGCCTATCCACCAGTAATCCGTGGAAGCCTGGTTGAATGTTGTCGAATTGAACCCAGAAGTTCTCCTTCAATAAGGTCTATTTGTAGGAGACTGCGAATCCTGGTGTCTGTCTCAGGGCTGAGAGTTTCTTCCACCTTGTGATCATACAAACTGAGCCGTGGCAGTTTCTGGATTGCATTTCAGTTGCGATCCTCGCATGGTCTTCATGGATGAATAACACCATGATGTTGTTCCGGCCCAAGTTTTGCAGCGAGAAGGTGTCACCTATCAGTTTGCATCTTGGTTCCTTCCAAATTGTTTCGATTACCCATTTTCTTTTCTCTGCTGGCTGGAGATCTGCCCCGTAGCGTGCGAAGTTAAACACCACGCCGTGGTTTTCATGAAGTTCATCCATCTCGGCGATTTTCTCTTCCAGGTATTTCCATATAACCACTTCTTCTTCTTTGCCTTCCACTATCTGTTTCTCAGTGGACTCGATTCCTTGGAC